CTTAATTTTAAAAAGATTATGACACATGCTCCAAAGTATCCAAGCCTCAAAGATTTACATCTAAGAAATGTGGGAAAGGCCAAAATTTTGCCCATATTTATTAACAATAATACAATCTTTGGCTCAGCCCTGACCCTATAGTGGTTCCTCACTTCCTCCCCAGCTTTTTCTAGCATCTCCATCCTCTCTGGCCTCCCATCAGTGGAACAGAATCTTCCTCTGCTTCTCTCCTACCAATGCCCTCTCTGCCACCTCAGTGTTTGAACTCCATTTCAGGGACTAAAGCCCCAGCTTCTGCCCCCAAGAGGCTCCCCAAAGCATCTTTCCACAATGGCAGATCTCTTTTTACCAATACTCCAGAAGGTGACATTTTCTGGTATTTTTCCAAATAAAATATGACTCAATTACAATTTGTGCAAAATAAACTCCCAGCCATGAATATACACATCCACAGAGAAAATGATCTGTAAAAGTCACCACAACTGAAAAAGTCTGCTGCTTGTTCACAGTATGGTGTGAACAAAACTCCGGGCTCTCACCTCAGTGACAGGCACCAAAAAGGAGAATTTAACATTGGAAAATTCCCTCTGCGAACTCAAATTTCCTTTGAATTTTTACATCACTGGAGGAAATACATGTGTTTCTCAAGGGAGAGGGGTGCTGTTGGCCTTTAAGACAAGACGATTCATCATTGTGCCAGACTGTGCCCCACATTGTGAGATGTTTGGCATCCTTGGCTCCAACCATGAAGGAGATAAAGATGCCTTCAAGGATATAGCACGGTTGACCACCAACTACACCTTGACATTGTCTCCCGTGGAATGGGAACCCAGAATATAAAGTTCAGTTGCAGGAAAATAAAATTATATTTTTTCGCACATGAGTTTGTGGATGAAGCTTGGTACTCATATATTCTTGTCTAGTGGAACGAATCCAGCTTGGGAGGGGGGCTGCCACAGACAAGTGTGTAACACATAAGAGGGCACCAGTTGTATCATACACATTGCTGATTTGTGATTTTATTAAACAATTTTTACCATTAATGCAAGTATCTTGAAAAAGGCACCCGTTTCCTAATTTGAACAAAGATGCCATATGGACTAAAGGTGGCCCTGACAGGAAGTTTGAAGACCTTGGGACCTATGTTCTTATTAGATGAGTTACTTAATCACTATGCACCATTTCTTCATCTTTCATAATGGTAGAATGCAATCTTGTCAGAAGACTGGTAAGACAGCTGGCTGAAAAGATAAACACTAAAAACAAAGTGAGTTTTGTCTTTTAGAGAAAATAGATTCATGATACAACTAAACTTTTAAAAATTTGGGAAAAAAGATCATGGAGTTAGGACAGGGGTCCCCAAACTAAGTGCCTCAGTAATATTTTCACTATACCACTAGGGCCAAAGAAATACTGAATAATTCTGTTTATTATGTAGTAAGGTCCAGACAATTTAAGTATTTATGTTCTAAGAACTCAGTAGCCTTGTAAAAAATAATGCACATAAAAGAGAAAATAATTTTTATATCATTCTTAAATAATCACACTAATAGATGCGTGCAAGTCTAGCGCAGCTCAACTTCTCGAACTTAGGAAACAGATTGAACTCTGCCACCAGTGTTTTGTGTGCCCCACAGATTTTCACAAGGTACTTCCTTTTCATCATAGCAACAACCTAGCTTCCCAAAGATATCACATCATCTAAAGGAACGTAGCACAATCTAATATTGAAATACGTGAACTCTTTCAAGCTAGTAGTTTGCTCAATGTCTAGCATGCCGAGTCTCTCTGTTTCCCTCAAAAATTTTAAATGTCCCATGGTGCCTCCTGTGAATTTGCTGACATCTCACTTCCAGACCACTTTCGTGCACAGTTTAAGATAAAGGGATTAAGACAATGAACCCATAGACACATTGAAATTAACTGCAGTAAAAGTGTTTATAATGGCCTAACACTTATGGCTCTGCAGAACTATAATTAAGTTTGAAAGTCCAGCATTCAAGAGCCTGTTTATTTCTTCTTGGGCTTTTGAGATAATGTCTTCAAAAGCATTTAGAAAAGTCTGATGTGCTGTAACAAGGGTAATTGCAGAGTTGGCTGGTGAAGGAGTTGTCCACTAGAATGTAAGTTCCAAGAGATCAGAGAGTTTTGTATCCCCAATGCCTAGAATAGTGCTTGGGATATACTAAGGCCTTAATAAATATTTAATGAATTAATGGATGAAAGAAAAGAGGACTCGCTGACGTTTTGAACTCTTTGGTGTTTTTAATAGAGTTGTAGGATTGGCTTGGGGTTCGTGCTTTTATCTGTTCTTTCAACTTGGTCAGTGACCTCCCAAATTAATCATAAGTTGTATGGTTAGAGATTATATATGTAAAAGTGCCTGGTACATAGAGGTGCTCAGTAAAAGATTAACTTAATTTTTTATAAGGAGGCAAAATAGGGCGGCGGAAAAAATATAAACTTCGGAGTAGGACTAATCTGGATTTGAATTAACTTTTGAATTTGAATAGACAATTACCAAATTTCTCTGCATCTCACTTTTTTCATACGTAATATGGCGATAAACATAATATAAATGTTCGTTTTGTTTTTTACCAATATCTCAGTGTCTAGATCAGTGCCTGACACAGGTTAGGCACTTAATATTTGTAAAATTGAATTGATTTGAATATATTCCCACTGAATTTTATACTTTTTAGTTTGGACCCATTAGTTAGTTTGTCAACATGATTTTTAAGAAACGATTACCCACTTTCATCCTACATCTTTAATTGCGACCCATTATCCACATTCCATGCAACCAGCCCCTACCAGGGAAAACTTCAGGCCCCCAGGCCAATTCAATTACTAGCCATGTGAACCTTGGCAATTTACTTAGCCTCTCTGTGTCTTGGTTGCAATATCTGTAAGTGGGGATAAAAACCATCTCTACTCTGTAAAAATCTTGTGAGGATTCAATGAGTTAATGCACATGCAGTGCCTACAACAGTGCCTGGCACACATTCAATAAATATTAGCTATTGTCATTCGATTTACAGACAAATCCAGGACTCTCTCCCCTTTAGTCCTGCTCTGCATCTCTGTTTCCCCCTGCTCGAGTATTGATCTTCTCCTGCCCATTTCTTTTATCTCCACTTCTTTCTCAATCGGAAATGGATGAGGTCTTTCAGATTCAACACTCCTCTTCCCTCCACTTTTTTTTAAAAAACATTTGCCATTAGGACCAAACTGCTTTTAGAAGCTCCACGTAACTTCTTGACTAATCTGTGCCACTAAAATTTTCATGTTTTAACAATGTGATTCTAAGAAGAATCCCCATGGGAACAAGAGAGAAGAACATTTTCTCACAAGTTGCTTTATTTGACCTTAATCCAGAACTATTTTAATATTGTCACTTATCACCAATAACTTACCCCATTTTATTTTAGTTTTTCAAATGTGACCTCCTTAACATCTTGAGTTGTACTATTTTAAAGAGAGAATAATTTCAGGTCCTCTAAAACAATTTTTTTTTTTTGCCTTAAAACTAATTTAGAAATTTTCTAATATACCTGTGCTCCCTGAGCTTCATTCTGAGGCCAGAAGGGAAGAAAATATCCTCTTCCTTGGAAGGGCTGTAGTATCTTGGCTTGGGCTATGAAGTCTGCCCTACCTCATGCCACCAATCTTAGGGAAAGGAGGCTGCCAGAGAACTTGGCTAAAGGTAGGGAGGTAAAAGATCCAAAGGATTAAATTTCCAGCTCCCAAAATAGCCCCTAAGTACTCCTAGCACCACCAAATCAGGCCTTGCACGCTTCTTCACCCTGGCAAAGTGCCAACTCTCTGGCTCCATCCCAGGAGGCCCCGTGGATCCATGGATGGTCCTCTATCTCTAGAGAAAAGCACCCTACAGAGGCTGGGGAGACCAGTGAATTAAAGGTGGATATGCAAGGTGCATTTTCTCTCTTCTTACAGTCTTATCATTCTTTCTTTTATGTCCTCTCTTCTATCTTCTTCTCCACCTGTCTCTAGGTTCCTGAGAGGCCTCAGGACAGTGTTTTCCAAAACTCAATAAATGAGTAACAGTGTCATGATATCGTTCTCCCATATCCAAATCTCACTTGTACTGTTTCTTTAAATTAACTTACTTTTTCATTCAAAATTTTAAAGATTGGCTATTAACGTATAGCATTGCTTTAAATTTAAAACCAGTTACATTTGACATACACAGAAGACTCACATATAAATATAATTAAAACAGAAATGTATAGTAATGAAATTGTAGTTGGATAGGGCTGCTTGCTGCAAGCCTTGTGTCTGAGTCCTGCTCTGTTAGGTAAATGAATACTGGAGAAGTGTTAAAGACATACAGGTGTCAATGTTGGAACTGATCCTTGAATTAGAGGCTAGAAAGAGGACTGAAGAGAGAGCAACTTTTTGACCTAATTTTAAGTACCATGTGTATATATAACTTAAGCATTTCTTACTTTGGGATATACTGCTTTGAGTTTTAGACCCACAAAAGGAAAGTAAGTTTTTTGAAATCTGATAGACTCCCTCCATCCAGTTTCCTTCAAGCAATGTACACTCTTTACTAACTATACTAAAAAATTCTTTGCACATTTTTTTTGGGGGGGGGGACCAACTACCACAGGGTATTTCAGATATAGGACTCGTTCCTGCGAATGGAAAATGTGGCCAGTGAATGGGTCTGGATGCTATCTAATTTAAATCTTGACCTATCCCCATATTCCTGAAAAGAGACCAAGAGCAATTTGCCCAAGGTCATACATAAGATTGTGTGATTTTTTTGTTCCTGAAGACCAGTGAACAAGCTATCTTGTCCCTCAAGAGGCTCCAGAAGGTTTGGCAAGAGGCCCTCTGGCCTCTCCTGTGTTGAAAGCGGTTGCCATGGCTGCGGCACATTATGCCCCCTCCCGCCTCGTTTGGTGACGTAAGGGAACCAGCATCCAATAGGAAAGCAGGTCTGCGTCCCGCTCCGCCTTTCCTCGCGGGCCCCGCCTTCGTGGCCAAAAGAGAAGCGTCGTCTGGGGGCCAGAGGCAGGCTCCGGTCGCGGCCGCGGCGAGTTACATCGTCTTCCAATCTGTCCGCGTCCGCCGCCGCCCGAGACAGAGCCAGGATGTTCAGGATGCTGAGCAGCAGTTTTGAGGATGATCCCTTCTTCTCGTGAGTGTTGGGGGCCGGGAACCCGCGGTCGCGCGGAGATTCAGGCATCTTGAGGGGAGCTATTTTGAAGGGAAAGCGAGTTTTAGAGGACGAGAGGGAATTTGGGGGACTCCAGGAGGCGGTTTGAGGGAGAGGACTTGGGGACGTGTGAAGGAAGGAAGAGGAGGACTTGGTTGTGTATGAGGGAAGGGAGAGGAGGATTTAGGGGCGTAGAGTGGAACAGGAAGGTTTGAGGGGACGTGCGATGAAGTTAGAAGGATTTGGAGGGCGTGGGATGGGAAGGGACTTGGTGACTCGAAGTGGGGGCAGGTGGGGGGGAAGGATTTGGGGGCGTGAGGTGCGGAGAGGTCCGAGCACGCACACCCGGGGTACGAGCTGCTCTCAAGTTGGCAGATTTCGGGTGACCCCCTTTGCTTCCCGCCTTCTGAACGACGCCCTCGCAGTTGCAGGGGCTTGTCGGGTGACAGTAACTGCTGTCTCGGTAACTGCCATCTTGGTGGAACTTCTGGCGTGCATTATGCTCACAGGACCCTTTTCACCCTGATTTTAATTTCAGATGAGGGGCAAGGAGAATCTTATAGATGACGAGTCTTCGAAAAGTGAAACGGTTTTAAAACAGCTTTTTTCACAAGTGTTCATGAGAGCATAACAAAGTTGGAGGGTTGTGATGCTCTCACCTCCAAGGGCTTGGAAGTTGCCATGTGCACTATTTGTTTTCTTTGCTTGCTTTGTTACAAAGCTAGCCTTGTTTGGGAAGGGACTGCACTGTCAGAAGTACAAATAGGGCAAGGAAACGGAGAGGGTGCATTTAGCACCTCGGGTAAACCAGTGCCAGCGCTGTGAATGGTTCCAAGTGAAATAGTGATGCCTTAGGAAGAAGACATCCAGAAATTCTTTCATTATGATCTAGTTTCCTGTGTTTAAAAAAATTCTTCCCTTGGCGAATATATAAAAGTAATAATCTAGTTGGATCGTTAAGACTGGAAGATTTGTGATACCTTTTTGCCTTAGTGTCCTAATCGCTTAAATTCTCTCTGCAACTTAGGGACTTTTTTTTTTTTTTAAGTTAAAATGTTAAGTTTACTACATAGATTTTTGTTTTTGTTGTTTTTAAAGGGAAATACTATATTGATTTAATGTCTATACTATTTTAAAACCAAATAACATAAAAGTAATAATTGAAAGGATAACACTAGAATCGGTGAAATGATTAATGTAGACTTATAATTAAGGTATATATGAACTCAAGCAAATTGATTATCCTGGGTAGTTCACTTGTTTAGGAGCTGTTGGAACATTTACAATCAGTGTCATTTTAACGAATTTCAAATTTTGTATTATGACTTGTTCTTTTAAAAGCCTCTGAGAGTAGTGACTAAATATATCCATAGATTAGTTGAGCTGTTGAAGTGGTTCTTATGTAATTGTGACATCAGTACAGTGGGTTAAGAAGATTATGACAGACAACTTTTGGGTTCTATTATATCCTTGATTATATCAAAAAGAGCAATGAGCTTAACTAAACTGTAAATGTATGATTAGTACATTCTTCAAAATGTCTAGCAAAAGTGTATTTTAAACTCTTGGGTGACTTCTGACCAAAGGCAATGAGTCCAAGAGTCAGGGTTAGAAATAGTAACAGACCACAAATAGTAGCATACATCTAAGAACACTTCCCCTGTGCTTAGAGTGGAAAGGAACATCAGTTACATGTCCGTAGATCTTTCAGTCATTACTCTCTGTAACCTTCTTTAAATGTAAGAAGCTACATCATAAAAATTTAGGATCAAATTATTGTAATTAACTTTATAAAACTGATTCATGCTTATAATTTCTTTGCTCCACAATTAACTGTGTAGAGAGTAAACATAATTTGATGAGGTTAAGGAGAAAAAGAATGTGAGTCTATATTTATTTCAAGTAATTGTCGTTTGACCCACTCCTTTTACCCCAACACCAAACAAAATGACTATCTCTTACTTAATATAAGTCAAACCTGAAGAATTCATAAAGGCAACCGAATTCTTACTCAATCTTCCACTGACCGTAAGGAGCACAGAAAGGTTCCATGCCCACCATCTTTTATATAAATATTATCCCTATTGCTAACATTGGGTTTCCTAGTGACTAGTTTAATGTTTGACATGTAGAAAGTATTCACTAAATATTGTGTAATGATAATCTGATGTCCTTTATTCTCTGGTAATTAATCTGGTATTTATTGCTGAAAGTAATTATTTGATTTCAATGGATGCTGTTGTTGATATTGGCACTTTCTAATTTAAACACTACCATTTTCTAAATAATCCATTAGTTCAGAATCAAGAATATCAATATAAGCATACTTTATCAATTTATTTCAGAAGTGGGCAGACACAAATATACTTCTTGGATATAAAATTAGAATTATTAAATGATTTGAGACTGGTTAAGTACTTTGGTCAAATTGTCAAATGCTTAAAAGCTTTGAGTAAAAAAACAAATTTTTAATCTGTAGTTTTGAATTCAAATATATTCATTTTCAACATTTACCTTCCCATAACAGTATATGTTAACTCTTTCATCAGATAATTAAAGGAAAACTTTAAAAGTGATATTTTAAAGTTCGTTGTTTTATTATATATTTGGAACTTTTTTAATATTGGTAGCTTACTATGTTTCAGAGCTGAAGTTATTTCAGTGAAAATTGCCTTACAGTATACCTTTATATATACTTTCTTAAATAAATAGTACTTGTAATTTGGTTAAAAACACAAAGGCTAAAAACTGGTACTTCCTGGCATGCAGTTTTCTCTCAAGAATACTACTTTCCCCTCTCATTTGTATTTGCTCAAAAAGAAATAGGAATATGTATGTATGGGCAGGAAAATTAATTTGAGGTTAAAATGGGTGACTTTGGATATCTATCCTATACCTTATAAGAATTGATCATTTAGCATAAAAAATTTACATATATCTAGTACAATCTAGAAATTTCTACTTTGTACAGAAACATGAACTTTGAATCTTCTGAGCTACAGAAATGAAATTCTGATCATGCAAGTCTATAAAAAATAGCTATGTTACCACTTATCAGCTGTGAGACATTAAAGGCTCAGTAACAAGTTGGCCATTCTGTAAGCCTTATTTTTAATCATTAATTATTAGCATTTCCTTAAACCACCCAACTCTTCTTATGGGCACCATATGTGTGATGAGCAGTCTTTGGTCAAAGAACTGCATATATTCACAGGAAGTTGCTTTTTCCATCTCTTTGCTCTCCACAGAAGCTAACACATATCTATAATCTCTTTTTAAAATTTTTTATTTTGCATATTTTGCATTTTGGAGGTAGCTGGAGGACACTGCTTTGACATATTCACTGACTGAGTTGTAAGTGAATGTATTCCATGTACAAGACAGGCATTGACTGATATTTCCTTGATTGAGAATATTATGGTAGCAGGAAATAAAACAATTACTAGATAAGTTTTTGTGAACAATGTTCAAAGTTACTTACATATTTGTTTTCAGATATATAGTCTGAGATGGGGTCTTCATCAAGATGACATAGTTTGGTGCTAATTAGTACTCTAATTCTAATTAATAAAAGTAGCTTGAGAGCACTCAGCTAAAATTTAAAGTTTTGATTTTGGGGATCCCATTTTATGTTAAGACCCCTATCAGCTACTGTGATTTTTAGCACCTAAAAATTTCTGTTCTCGGAAATATTTTAATATAGATATTTCTTATAAATGAACTTTGCATATTTTAAGATATCACATTTGATAGAATGAAACACTATGAGCCTTGAACTGAAAGAATTTCTAAGGTAGACTGTTGATTTGGGACATTTTGGGTACATTAAATACCAATCATTGAATTATGAGCTAAGGAGCACAACACGTTTATGACATTGCTGGATCAAGGAATGCTATTTGGCAGGATCTAATCATATAATGCTTAGTTCTATCAATAAACATTATAAATATCCACACAGAAGTAGGGAGTGGGGGCTATTCCTGTAACACTCTTATTATCAAAGGTTTATGCCACACCACCATTTTAAACTGTGCTGCTACACAGTGGGAAAATAGAATTGCCTTTGGAAATGTAATTCATCCTTCAGGTATTTCTTAGATTTCCACTATATGCTCTGTCCTATGGACTGTATTATAGATTTGTAGAAATTATGGCCCATGCCCTCAAGATTCTCTTATGAATGTTGGTTCTATACATTATTTCTAGTGTCAAAACTTAGATCACCTGATATATTTCATTTATGGACCCATGCACCCTATTGAAACTAGAGATCATTTCTTTATGAACAAGAGAGCCATTATAATTTTCTGGCTAAGCTTTTGCTACTGCTATGTATAATGGAAGGAAGGAATTTCCCTTGATGAATGGGACTGCAATGTCAATTTTCTGAGACTCTTCTGTAATAAATAGTGTAATAGTTTTTACTTAGAAGCATAAATACCTATATTCTTGTAAAGGCCAAGTAAAATTGTAACCTGCCCCCCCCATATGTATGTATGTGTGTATGTGTATATATATTTATTTATATTTATATTTGAGTCTCAAAAACAGGAACTTATTCTAAAGTGAAACTTCACCAGCTGTTAAAAAAAAAAAAAAACTTTTGTTGAAATTATACCCAAGAGATCCAGAATCATTCTAAGACTTAAGAAAATTTTATGAGGGGAAGAGCAGCAATTTACTTTTCCTAGCTTGTGATAGATTCATAATATGAAGTAAAAAAAGGACACTTGGTACCAAATGTCATTATGTTTGCTTGTGGTTTATATTCGTTAACCTGAAAGAGGTAGTATGGCTATTATAATAGTAAAGTTTTATGATTTAAACCTTTCCTGATTTGAATGAAAATGTATCCTCATAGAAAAACCTGAAAACTATAGAAAGTTGAGTAAAAGAAATCATGCAACCCAAGATTTTTGCTCTATCTTTATTTTGATGTATTTTTTTCTATTTTCTATATATGAATTTCTTTTTCCAAA